TGCCGACTGCAGGTGCTCTGTTAGCGCGTCTATGGCTGTAGTCGTCTCCTCGATAGATTCGACTACGTCCGGGATGCGGTCCAGTACCGGAGAGTTAGTCGACTCGAGGACTTTCTCGAGCCGGCTCCAGTCCGTGACCGTTTTAAATTGAGGCGCCCCGTCTGCAGGTGGGCCTAGCGAGAATGTGACGGGGCGGTGGTCGGAGATGAGTTCGGCATGGACCTCCATAGAACTCAGCCTTAAGGCTACGTTCTTTAGTAGGGCCATGTCGAGGATGGAGGGCTGATGAGCAGTGTTTGCCGGATAGTGCGTGAAGTGCACTGGGGGAAGGATGTCGAAACCCATGGAAAGCGAAAGGCGTTCCAGGGTGAGACCGTTTGGGTTCGGATAAGCACAGCTCCAAAGGCTGTGCTTGCAATTTAGATCTCCGGCAATAATTACCGAATCCCCCAGGTCCATGAGAGCTTGGAGGTCGGCCCGGAGTAGCTTTTTGGAGGGAGAGAGATAGGCCGATGCTATATAGATCGGTCGATGGTCTGTCATCGCGAGGAGGCATATCGAGGCTTCCATGTTTACGAGCGGAGGCGTGTCGATCGGAATGCACTGAAGGGACCTTCGGTAATAAATTAACGTACCGCCGCCGCGACTGATGCGGTCATTGCGTACGATACTGTAGTTTGCGATTCTTGGACCGCGTGTTGAAGGCTTGAGGAAGGTCTCCTGTAGTAGGAGAACGTCCACCTGATGGGCGGTGAGAAACTCACGGACTTCGTCTCTTTGCCCTTGTAGTCCGTTAGCGTTGAAAAACGCTAACTTAACGGACCGAGGTTTGCATCTTTTCGCCCTTAGATCCATAATTAGTTGTTAAAATTGAGGATGGCGACTAGTACGCCGATGTGCTCGCAGACGGCTGCGAGTCTTTCTTGTGGGTCGTTGACTGACCTTAATTTGGAGGCCAGGGCCGTAATCTCGCCAGCGTCGATGGAGCTGGCGAGTTTCGCTACCAGTGCGAAGTCGGCTGCGAAGCTTGAGCCTACGTTCATTCCAGTTTGTGGGGCGGGGCGCGGAGGAGCGGGCGATGCCACAATCTTGGCAAGCGTGGGAGCGGTTGCAGATGGCATGGTGGGTGAGGGGGTCGCCTTGACGACCGGAGGTCGCACCCAAGCATTTTTTGGCGGGGGAGGTGGTGCAGCTGAAGGCTGCGGGATAGTCGGGGGCGCGGGGCGTGCTGCGCGGGGTGCCTGAGCCTTTGTGGCTTTTGCGGAGGCCTTGTTTTGGCCGGGACGGGGAGCGCGGGGACATCCGCGGTAGTTAGCTGTGTGGCCCTGTGTGCCACAGAGTACACAGCTAGGTGGGGTCGGGGTGCCACTCACGCGAGTGCATTGCTTGGTGCCGTGGTCTCCCAGGCACTTGACGCAACGTTCGCGCGCGTAGCAGTTTCGGGCGGAGTGCCCATAATTTTGGCAGCGGTGGCACTGCCCGGGGTAGGTCCGCTTATTTGGCGGTTCTACTGATAGGCCTGAGATCAGGCAGACACTTCGGATGTTGAAGATAGATTTCCCCTCTGGGGAGAGATCTAGTACCACTAGTACCATGTCTAGTGGCGTTTTGGCCCTGCTGCGGTACATCCTGTGTACCTCGTAGACGGGGTAGTTTTGAGAGCGGATGTCTGCGAGGATGTCCTGGCAGTCCAGCTCCTTAGGGACGCCGCGTATTACTACGCGCAGACGTTTCTCCTCCTCGAGGGCATAAGTGTGGTAGCCCACACTGTTTGTCCTGAGGAAGGAAGTTAACTGGCGATGATCCGCCGATGTGGGAACCACTACTCTGATTCCTAGTGAGGTTACCCTTGCATGGGTAAAGGATATGCGCTTTTCCTTCAGCGCAGCTGACACCCTGTTCCAGGCTGTCTTGTCCTGGATGATTATAGGCGGAGGAGGCCTAACTTTCCCCGCGTGATCGCGGTCGGTTTTATCGGCGTTAGCCGGAACGGGTGCGCCATCGTTGGCACGTTGGGTTTTAGGCGGGGGAGATCGCGCGCCCGCTTCGCGCGTTTGGTGCGCTTGGCACCCACAATTTGAAATTCCTCTTCCGAGGAGGAGGCAGTGTCGGAGGAGTCGCCTGTTTCGGCGACGGCGTTGGGAGCGTCTAGCTCCATTTCCGTTTCAGAGGAGGGGCGGTTGGGAGCAACCTCCTGAGGGGACATCGGCTCCGGGGTACTCACTAGGTGGTCCCCGGGAGAAGGTGGGTTAGAGGACAGCTCGTCGATGGCCTCTTGAAGGGAGGCCGCCGGCGAGGCAGGGGCGTCGTCATGTATCACATGTGCGCCCCTGCGCTCATCGAAAAATGCCTTTAAGAGGCCAGTTAAGAAATAATAAATATATTTACTTAAATACAAACTTATATACTTACATTCAAAATACATACATATCTGTATATAATAATACATATTATATAAAATACGGACAAGGGATGGGCAGCAGCGTCCCTCTTAAAATATCTTTAAAAGCCTAACTGCGGTTGCCAACCCACCAATCCAAGCGTGGCAAATACTGGCAAATCTCCTTTTACAGGGAAGGCTTATGTCCAGCAGTGGGTAGTTAATGGCTGAAATAATAATAATATAAAATATTATCTCTTCATATACAAAATGTGTATGTGTATGTAAACAGACATAATAATATTGACTATACTGCCATAAAGTGTCGAAAACTTATTTTACAGTCGACGTTTATATGCCAATGTCATGTCCGCTTGTTTAACTAGTTCCTAACTAGACTAACCATAAAACGGCGTAGTGAGTCATTTGCTACGAACTCGCTTGCAGTCGCTCACGGGGCGAGGTCATAATCGATTCAGCGCTTGTTTCCCATAATTTTCTCGAGTGCATAAGCTTTTTTATAGAAGAACTAGCGATCCAGCCCGGTTTTGCATCGGTTGATAGAGTTTTTGAAAATAATATATAACCTATATACATCATCGTCATCATTTCAGCCATTATCCGTCCACTGCTGGACATAAGCCTCCCCATAGACTGCCACAAAGAACGGTCCTGAGTCACCTGCATCCACTGACTACGTTACTTGATTATAATGTAGCTTCTTATATTTGAACGGCGTTTTAAAATAGTCCTCTACTAGAGGGAGAGTTTGTACAAATGTCGTTTGCTTGGGCACCTCTGTCCCATTCGTGTTTCTACCGTGAAGCAGTTGTGTTTGCATGGCTGTGTTTCAGTTTGAATGATGGGAAAGGACAGTGAATTTACAGGGTATAGAGGAATAACACCTGAGTCGTCAGGAATGGCAACGCATGGGAAGTATCATGGGCGAAATATAATACTCTGTTATGTCCATGGTACTGCTCATGTCTATATGGTTACCATTGCATTATCATCCACTAAAAATGTGGTAATTAGCTTCTACTGTAAACTTTCCCACAGGATTTAAATCGTATTTTGTTTATTTATTTATACTTTATTGTACACATTAGTAATATATACGAAATATGACAATGTAAATATACAAAGAGCTTAACTCTGCAAGAGTTCTCTTCCAGTAAATCGAAAGTGGAAAGGAGCGTCATTTAATTTCTTTGTGTCAGTCGACTAGACCCATATCATGACTTAACATACAAAAATCCCGTGTCACGACATTCGTTCACACCAATCTCCTAAACTGCTCAACCGATTTTAATGAAATTTTGTAAATTGAATGACGATATAGTTTTTATTTCGATAAGAAAAAAATAGATCCTGTAGATGGCAGTAGAAGCAAAACAACGTTTGATGGATGAGTCATAAAATTAAAGCAATCTCTAAAAGAAAAAGAAATAATAATTTTCAGGTTGTGTTCCATAGAAAAACATGATTTCAATCGTGAAAAAACCCAGTTATTTTGATTTAGAAACTCAAATCAAGAAATAAATCAAAGAAAAACTCAAAAAAAAAATTATTGATTTTAAAACCAAAATCAAATGGGACCAGACCGAAAGTATGTCCTTTCAGATAAAACATAAAATTTTCTAAATCAGTTTACAACTATATATATATATATATATATATATATATATATATATATATATATATATATATATATATATATATATATATATATATATAATAACACCGAATCGAGACACTCCTTTCTTTAAATTAGTTGAAAAGAGGTGGTTGTCATTCTACCTGTATGGAAAGTGGTAACCGTCGCCTATAGACATGAGCAGTACCATGGACATAACAGAGTATACTGTTTCGCCCATGATACCCCCCATGCGTTGCCATTCTTGAGGACTCAGAGGTGTTATTCCTCTATACCCAGTAAATTCACGCTATATCCCATCCTTCAAACCTAAACACAGCCATGCAAACACAACTGCTTCACGGTTGAAACACGAATGGGACAGAGGTACTCAAGCATTCGACTTTTGTACAGTCTCCTTCTCCATCCCATACAATACGTGTATACTAAATTGTATAAAAATTTGGCTAAGCCGTTAAGGTGTTATAAGGTAACAAACAAACAAACAAATTCACTTATTTATTATTAAGGAATGAAGCCATTTTTAGTTGTGGAGTAAAATTCTCTTTATTTATTTGTTGATACAAGGTTATTAAGTTTAAAATGAAGTTATAAATTAACATTTTAATTCGAATATGTCTGTGAAACATCTATGTGTCTTTTGTTTGACTTTGAAACAGAAATAGCGAGATTATTAATATTCATTTTGTCATCTTTGATCTCGTTTGTTCCTTTTCGAAGTAAAATAAATGTTCCACTCCGTAACTAGCTATTATGTGTCATGTACACTTATCAACTACATGATGGCATGTATGCTCATTTATTTATCTATTATTGTCATCTAACAATACTAGGATACCTTTAGGACTTCGCAAATACTTATAGATAAGAAGGCCGCGTATAGAAAATGTCATTATATTAAAGGACTAACGTGGGGTTGCCATCCTTACCCCACCTTCCATGGAGCCGGCTGTAAGTTCAGTTTAGTACTGTCAGTGATACCGCATCCGATGGTCGCGTATTTTTCGCGCCATTTCAAATCGCGCGGGTTCTAAATTCAAAATTTTCCTGTGTGCCAGTGTGAATAATATATATTTTTTTAAATTGAATAGCTTTTTGATTTATGAGTGCAGTGTTATAGTTTTTTGGATTGTAAAGATTCTAAAGTAAGTATTTGTGTTTTATTTTTGTAAATATAGTTCATTATTGTACTAAAATTTCTAAGAATGAAGGGATAAAAGTTAAAGATTCTTAAGATCAATATTCGAGTACTTGAAACAGTTTATTTTATAATTTTACCTTTTCCATATTAAATCTATCAAAATCGTTTCAGTTGTTTAGTTCTTAGATCAAAATGCCTAGTTTGTGACAAAATTGAAGTAGGTTTTTTTGTGGAAAAGTTTTATTTTATTTATTTATTTTACACTTTATTGCACTAAGTAAAAAAATGATAAATACAGTAAATATTAATGAGATGTGATACAAAAGCCGGCCTTACATGATGTATTATTGTTTAATGATAAGGTTAACAGCTTTTTTTGAGTATCTTGAGTGTCATTGTTGCATATATTGAATTTATCGCTTAATAAATTCAATTTGTTTCTAACCTATTTAATATAAATAAGTTGTCTTATTAAATTTTTAAACTAAAAAGGGGATATGTAATTTTTGCACATGCAATTTTTCGGAGTTGCGGATGCTCATGGGCGGCGGTAGTCACTTACCATCAGGCGAGCCGTATGATCGTTTGTCACTGTTTCTTTTTTAAAGTGACATGGTATTACTACTGTTGAGCAAAATATATTTTTTTTTAAACAGACAGACAGTCAGTTTAATGCTACTTACTAATGGTTTAATGTAACTAATATAGACGATATACAGATGTAGGCACTTTTTTTAGTTCTTCTCAAATGTTTTCTTTCCAAAGTAACAAGGAGATATATTCTTAAATTTTGTGAAAATTAGTTTCGACTTTAGTAAGCTTGGATTCTATTTCTATCTTTTCGGTCTAACCCAGTAACTATATGAACTTACAGATAAAATTACAAACGAATGGGCAGTGGAATGTGGGTGCTTGCATTATTGAACGTGACGGCCAAAGTTCACATAGCACAAGGTCTTGTCTTCGCCACACACGACACGACAAATCGCTGCGATTTTTTGTCTAATTTAAACTAACGATAAAACAAACCGCGGCCGTACATGCTACAATCTTTACACTTTATTCTTCGATTTAGTAGAAGAAATTGTTATATTACTTATTTAGTACAAAACTTTGTTATATACATTGATCAAACTGTTTTCACAACCTATCTGATAGACGATACGATAAATTGCTATGATGTATCTGTAAAATTTGATCTAGAATCATAACTCCACTTATAATGGGATTTTTTATACATTTCGCGTCATAATGATAAATCATAATAGATTTTCATGTATACTAGAATAAATATTATCATTATAATCAGTATAATGCAGAACAATATCGGGCCTAGGCTTCCATATATATATATATATATATATATATTATATAAAATAATATATATGTACAATGCAAAGAATGCTACTTGACCTTATTACTCCATCCCCCGGTATGTTTTATAAATGGGTGAAGATTGAATGAAACTGTTTCTGTAGTATCGGAATATGCTGGCAAAGTACAAATGAGAGATAATAAGTGAAGAACGGATAGCTCTTCGTTATAAATTCAACAAGAATTCACCATGATAGTTTCCAGGGAGAACCATCTACTCATAACCGTGATCTAATCCTGGTGAAAATGTCAAGATAACCCAGGTAAATTATCACAGTTTATCTAAGTGATCGTGTTAATTCTCCTCTGCCATAAACTATATGTATACCATGTATCGTGAAAATCTAAAATTTATTACACCATACTTTCGTTGTTTACGTGTATGCTTGTCGCACATTATGTATGTATAACTGAGATTTCTTCTCTCTCAATTCTAAAAGTTATCGATTCAATGACAGCTGATAAGGCGAGCCCACTGTCACTTTACGCTTAAATTCATTCGATAATTTATCTTTATAATGCGATTTTTCGTAACGATTAGTCGGAGCGTGTGTAGCCCGTATTAGGCATATTTAATTGTATATATGTATGTGGTAGTGGTTTGAAGAAATAGCAAATGATTGATTTATTACAAACACCAGATGTTGTGTGTATTTTTATACAAGCTGTCGGCGCGACTTCGTTCATTTTTACTTTGGCATCAGTCAATAATAACATAAAATTATCTATCCACTTACAACCTCTCTTTGGAATTAACTTTCAGTAGCAGTATTTCTGAACAGATATGACATCATAACCTTCTAGAAAAGAGCATATTCCTTTTTAAAGGACCTGTACTACACCTGCCATGCCTTGAGTGTTTTGGGTGACCATAGGCGGCGGTAGTCACTTACCATCAGGTGAGCCGCATGCTCGTTTGCCCCCTGTGTTGTAAAAAAATCACCCATTAAAAACCCAGACTCGAGCAAATTTCAAAACCCTTCCTTTACTAAGTTGAAACTGAGACCTCATTTACGTAAAGCGACTTGTGCCCACCACGGCACTAGAAAGATAGTCAAATGATCAGTGTACTAAATTCTAAAAAAAATGTTATCATAATCATATCAGGTAACTATCCACTGCTGAACATAGTCCCCTTTCTTGGGGGGGGGTTTTAAAAAAGTATAGTAAGCTGTGTATATTATCCACTACCTATGGGGAGGGACTAATGTTTCAGTTGAGGGACTCATGTTTGTGTTAATGTAGTAGAGTGTGTAGTTTGATTTTAATATATTTCTATATAAATATTAACAAGTGTTCAAGAGAAGCCTTCAAGGAACATCAATAGCGAGCCCGCTTTTGATCGTTCAAGTTTTCCAATCACGTAACTTTGGGGTCAGGTCGCTTCAACTTAATTATGTCTGAATTTACGGTGCCTGTACTTTAATAATAGAATAGAATATTAATTATTGGGGGGAAAGGGATTGTTAGTAATGGAGACTGAGAATCCCATTGCTGGCAATATACCCAACCAGGTCGACCTCCTCGCGGTTCCCCCTGGAAACTATCATGGTTAATTCCTGATGAATTCATCATGATGGGCTAACTGGCCTGTTTTCATTCTCATCGATCACCCTTCACTGGTGCTCCGCCAGCGTATCCCGTTAGCGCAGGCGGGGTTACCATACCATTTTCACCCATCAATAAAAAAAACAGTATCTATATATTGCCTCAATAAAAGATATATTATATATAATAATGAAATGAAGCACCGAATTGAAACGAATGGAGATATTTAACTGGCATAGGTGATATCGAAATGGGTGATGACATTTTCTTCGTGTGATCATCGATTTACAGAGAAACCAAATTACTTTTAGCTAATGTAATGATATGCGTAAGCTTCTGTAATTCTGAGATGATCTCGATTACTCTTTTTCAGCCAATTTAAAAGGTTTTTAATTCGACTATATTTTTTTCTTATTTTTTTATTTTTGTCATCTCATAGCTCCGTCACCTTTGGAAAATTCTATTTTTTTTATATCTAAAAGGATATATTTACAGATTGGTGCCTTAAATTTTTTATCAAAATTGGCCCAGTAGTTCAGTTTTTCAATCAAAACAACTGGTTTTGCTACCATTAACATCATATATAGAAAAGAGTATATTCCTTTTTAAAAGGCCGGCAGCACACCTGCAATGCCGCTGGTGTTGTGGGTGATCATGGGCGGCGGTAGTCACTTACCATCAGGTGAGCCGCATGCTCGTTTGCCCCCTGTGTTGTAAAAAAAAAGCATAGACAAAAGAATTACTTTATCCATTGTTCTATATGGTTTTATTTTACCTACATCTAATCATTTGCATAGTCTCCTGGCACTGAGCTCTGAGGAAAATACTTAGCGTAACGTAATCACTTATCTACCCCCGGTAACAGGGCGGAGGGTGCTAAATGAGTCAATCAAGATAATTCACCTCAACAACGCAGACGTTGCGTCTATACGGGATCTCAACTCGATGACAGCAATTACAATATCCTGTAATGTAGATAACTAGTAAATCGGCCCGGCTTCGTACAGGTATAAAAAAAAACAGATATTAAAAATAATATTATATAGCCTATGTTATTCGTTGAAAATGTACCGTAATAAATAAAATAAATGTGGTGAAATAATTTATAAAATGCATTGAGTAGTATTTGTGTTTATTCATAACAAAAAAAAAAACAGTCAAATATTTTCTCTTTATAATATGTACTAGTACAGATTAAGGTAAGGTTAAGGAAATAAGTCTACAGAAATGTTGCAATACATACAGTCTGTATTAATGTGGTTAAATTTATTTCTTCACTTTCCAAATTTTAACACAAACAATTAAATGATCTTTTCTCAAACATGCTTGGAAATATAAGCATTATTTTGATAATCTTCTTAGAGATATATCAAAATTGCCGTACTGGCCAGATACATGCGGGCAGCGGCCGGCAAAAGTTGTATGAAAATCCATATCTGTCGTGTTTTGCGGCCAGATAAATTACTATGTAAACTCATATCTGTCCTGTAATTTAAAAATGGAATGACCTTTTACTTCGAAACATGGCTACCAAGGAGGTAACTAATAAAAGGTATTATTTAAATTTCGAACTGGTTTGCAAATAGAAAGCTGTTTATTGAAAAAAAAAAACAAAGGAACATTATGGCGCGTGAAAAAATATTATTGTTCGTTATTCGTCATTGAACTTAAAAAGTAAAATTGTGTTTTTGATTTCCGCACATTGTTTGAGAAAAGTACTATACAAGCCTTGGTCACAACTAGGTATTGATGGACTTACTTATGTGTGCCTCGGCTACGCCTCGGCCCACATTTGCACGTTCGTCCATCAATGCCTCAGTTGCTGGTCGCTGCAGTAATGTACTATAAATATCCCTGATTAATTCATCACTAACATCTCAGTCATTATCTGCCCACTGCTGAGCATAGGCCTTCACCATAGACTGCCACAAGGAACGGTCCTGAGCCACCTGCATTCACCGACTGCTTGCAATGCATTTGAGGTCGTCACTCCATCTAGTGGAGGGTCGTCCTACAGTGCATTTACCTGTATGGCGTCGCTACTTAATAAATTTTCTTCCCCATCAGTTGTCGGATCTTTTG